AAGCAAAATAAACATACATATCATGTACAAACGTAATTTATCTTTTTTTTCCAGAAACTACTGCGGTTACACAGTGAAGACCATAACTGTATCAACAATGAAAAATTGTCGAGAATTTAAATTGATATAACTTTGGAGGGAAAAAAAAGATCATTTAACAATCCACTTAGTCTCGTTCTGAAGTATTAAGCTTCTACTTCGATAATCCTGAATTTGTCCTTGATTTGAAGATGATTTTATATCATCTAATCAGTAAGCTTATTTTTTCCTAGAAATCCTAAAACGTCTAAAAAAATTATGATCAAATGCAATGAGATTTTGAAGACTGAAATTTTCTCTTTGTAACAAATTCTTAAAACTCACTATGCGATCTTTTTTTCATTATTTTATTGAACTTGGAGCATTAGGGATGAAATATTAGGATTTCTTGAATTTTGGTCCTTTAACCTTAATATTCAACGTTCAATAAAGTAGTGAAAAGAAATTGTACAAGTTTTAAGGAGAGACTTTGATCTTTAAAGTAATGGTGAATCTAGTTACGAAAAACAATGTTTCGACATTCTTACACACGTGAATTTTTATGATCTTCAAGAAGAAAGTATGCTCACTTTTTTACCCTCGACGTGACGTAAAATCATCTTCGAAAAAAAAAAAAAAAATGACCGACGGTCAAATAGAGATTTCACGGTTCAAAATTAGATCACACGTGGATCACTGTATGATTTTTTTCTACAAAGTTGTATCAGTTTAAATTATCAATAATTACCGTTGATACAGTTATGTTCTTCGCTATGAACATTTAAAATGATTACTGCTTAAAGCTTTTGATTTCACGCAATTTAATTTAAATATTAATCTTTCAATCCAACTGCTTGCTAATTACTTATCTTATGTCTTTTCATTTGCAATTTCTTTTTAACGCCGAAATAAATACATAGATTCTAACATTATGTACTTAAACATACTGCAGTAAAAAAGGAACTGTATACAATACTCAGAACCATAAAACTCATACAAAAGTTAGGAAAAGCGGTACTTGAATATACATTATAAAAATGAATAATAAAACAGGAGTCATAATATTAACAATATAACAACCTTGGATAAATGCAAGATACAATAATTCTCTAAAGGCGTTCAATTCGCCTTTCTTCTAGAAATAAAATATAGATCTACTTCACTGTAATCGGTGATGGAGCTACATATTTTACTACATCATTGCACTAGATTTATCTTTCATTTAAATTAAATACAGCTTGATTAGCAAAGTCAAAATAACAGTTCGTTTTTATGGAATAGGACACAAATGTAAAAAGTTTGTAATAATGTCCTTTATCAAACACGTATTATAAATGTAATACGCATATAATAATAATACGTATTATAAATAATTCACGAAAAACTAAGTTGAAACTAAATTGAAAAATCGCATTCGTCCTAATATATAGTATGAATATGAAAATTTATATGCAAAATTTGTACTAACACCTTATATACTTAAACATTTTCACTGAAAAAATTCAACGCTATTGATTGTTGTTGGTTAGTCTTTCAAGCCAAATGAATCATTAATTTTCGTTATTTCTTTTCGTCGAAATTGTTCATTTGTTAAATGTTTGTGGTTTTCTTTAATATTTTCTTTTCTATAATATTTATATCCTATTTAGTGTCAGCCCATTGGCCAGACATTAGGCGTCATTGCGATTTCATTGACACCAACTTTCTTGAACGTGCTCGTGCCTCCGTACGAATATTTGTATATTCAAACCAAAGGATATTTGGAATTAATGTTGTATCACGTAATAATAAATATTCTGATATCCGCCTGAAAATAACATTCAATGGTAATTTTCAACGAGGCTAAAAAGTTTTTTTAATAACTTACCATGACACAATTATAGGGAAAATTGGTGTAAGGACTACATGTGTAATTGCAAACCATATTGCCCCTAATATAAGACCTATGAATGTACCCCACAGAACCTGAGAGTTAGTGTGATATAATAAATAAACTCTACTGTATGTGATTAAAATAGCAACAATTATACAAGCAGCTATGACAGTAATCCTCCAGAATTTTTCTGAGATGCTGCTATTATTAGCGTGATGTAACCTACAAATGTACATATATATTTATAAATATATATAAAACATATAACATAATATTTTTGGAAGATTAGATTACCTAATGCATATGAAAAGCGTAGTATACATGGCAAAAAACCAAATGAATTGTGCATGCATCGATGGCATACCATATTCAACATAAACAGCATTGCGTCTCATTGGTCTTGCTTCACAGATTGTATGTTTTAATATAAAATTTATACACTCATTACATATAACACCACTAAAAAAACTAATCTGAAAAAAATTGATCTTAAATATTGAAGTTATAAGCACATTAAATTACACTTACACTTACTGTGTGCAAATCTCTTCTAAACAGGATCAATGTTATAAAACCAGCTATAATAACAAATGGTACTAAACTTGTCAGGGCTAAAAATTTTCCAAATAAATCACCTGCAAATTAAAAGGAATTTAAATAAACATAACTTTCAGAAAAATTAGATTTTAATACTGATACATAATATCTAGAAGCTTGAAGTCTCAAAACATCGTTTTTGAATGAAATGTATTATTAGGTACTCTTGATGAACATATGTATGCAAAAGATTCAAGTAAACAAAAATTACTCAATATACGGGAAAAATGAATCAATCGAAAACAAAATTTTGATTGAAAAGTATATGCGACGTTTTGACTTTAATGGTACAGTACTTCCTAAAAAAAAAAAAAAAGAAAAAGAAACATTAAGTATAGAAAGAATTTTTATATAATCACGCGAAAAAGACAATAAAATTATATCAAAAAACCTTTAAAATATTTACCTTGGGGATATTCGATTAAAGTAAGAGACAAAGGGACCCATTCGATTTTTTGGACAGTATCAGCAAAACGTGATTTAATTTCATAAAACGAGTCGTCGTCTAACGATGCCATGTTATCGAAATATTTGAAGTGACCATAACTTGGACAACTCACCGCGCAGCAACAATCATGGAATCTAAAGAATAATGGTAGAGACCTGAGTAGAATAATTTCAACGTGCACACAGTTTAACAGATATCCGAAACAAATAACAAAAAAATTATTTTCTTTATATCTTCTAGTATACAATTATAATCCTACATTATTACATTTTTGTTATATTAATTTAGATTATATTACATGATATTTAGTTTAATATCGCATAGATGTTGATAAAAATAATAAAAAAAATAGATTTAAGCACCAACAAATAATAATTCGTGAGAATCAAAATAATTGAAAAATACGGTCTCCGCTATATAATATTATGTTACTATTTAATCTCGAATCGTACTACGTGCAATAAGCGTACAAATTTTTAATTACATCAATAGTAAGAACGCGTACATACGTATATAAATGTAAAATTTTTTAACAATTTCGCATTCTTCTTTAATATTTCATAGCGTTCAAACGCCAGATAAATGTGTACAGAATATGAAATTGAATTATGCAGACTCAACTAGTGACTTGAAAACGCAAAGTTACTATTCCGAGTCTGCGAAATGCATTGTGCACTGCGTAAGAAGCGGGAGAGGTAGCGAATTGGATAGTTGCATGCTGCTTTGATCGATGTTTGCTTCCTGTTTGTGGTATTAATTTTACTCGAGAATCGTGCACAATGTGTGTATCGTTTGTGACATTGATTTGCCGATCATTTTGTAATTCTTCTAGAACTTTTTAAGAAATTTCGTTCATCTTACGTTTAACTACGATTTGTACGCCTGTACAGCCGACAGAAATTTTTTAAACTATGTGATGAATTAATGTTTTAGGTAATGTACGACCCTTCGTATATTGTATCATTATTGTTATTATCAACTGTGATATTGTGAATATTATTTATACCATTCAATGATGATAATATTAATTCGTTACTAACGACGCAAAGTATAACAATAACATTTGCAAATTTCGTATTGATATTTTATTTACATCTTCGTTTATCTTTCATTGCGGAGCTTCACTTTTCTGCATATCGCGTATAATTACATATTAATGAAATATTCCTATTTCATTCCTTTTTATCGAGTATATATTTTTATTATATATGTTGTTTTGATCATAGCTTTTGTATTGGAATGTTACATGACATTCTTTGAACCACATGGCAGACCAAGATATTGCAAATTACTATGCACTTTGTGCGAATAACCAACATGTGATAAAAAGTTTAGACGAAAGGCTGATAGGAAGTAGCATATCTCAATCATTATACGACCTAAACAGTAGCAATAATAGTGTTACAATTGAAAATGCAGCAACTGTTTCTCCGCTATTAAGTCACTATAAATATTGTTTCTCACATCATGATAGTCCAGTCAATTTCTCGTCTTTACCAACGTATCTTCCACCCATTGGTGTATTTTGGGATATAGAAAATTGCCAAGTTAGTATTAAATCTATTATGATTATATATCACTGAAATGTATTATATAATATTATGATATTTGAATGTAACATTTCTCATGATTTTATTCGCAGGTACCAAAAGGAAGGTCTGCCATAGCTATAACACAGATAATTAGACAAAAATTTTTTAGTGGTTATAGAGAAGCAGAATTTATTGTAGTTTGTGATGTCCTAAGAGAAAATAGTCGCGTTATGAAAGAATTGAATAACGCTCAGGTAAGCTAATCAACAATTTTTTTGAAACTATTAATTTCAATGCTGTAATATTGTATTTATAAATTTGTGTCTCAGGTTAATTTAATACATGTTGCTAGAGAATGTAAAAATGCTGCTGACGAAAAACTCAAACAATCAATTAGAAGGTTTGCCGATATTCATGGAAGCCCAGCAGCTGTGATTTTAATATCTGGTGATATTAATTTTGCTCCTGACCTCAGTGATTTACGTTATAGGAAGAAAATTCATGTGATACTTTTACATATGAAAAATGCATCTGAAGCATTAATACTATGTGCCAATGAGCATTATGATTTCTCAGAACTTATAGAATCACTACCACCTAGAACTGTACAGGTAAATACTTACTAATTTTACAATAATTTTCTAAACTTTAGTTTAATAAAAGTGAAACATTCAGTTGATTTTTAATTCTGTAACTATAACTTTATACAATAAACTGTTTCAATATAATTGCTTTTTTATTTTTATATTTATTATAAATTTGTGTGTACTAATCTGTGTTAATTTATTTTTAAATTTGTAGTACACGTGTATGCAAAGTAGATTTAAATATGTACTATTTTCATAAATGTAAAACTTTTAATATAATTAATAACTAATTAATATGATATTATTAATATATCAATTATCTCCATATATTTATACATATTTTAGTATCTTGTAAAGTTATAAATTTTTCAGAACACTACATATGATCTCCTAGTTACTAACCTCCCTGAATATCAGGATGGGTCCATTAGATTTTATCTTAAACAAATGTTCGAAAGTTATGGCGGTCAAGTGATAGAAATTCAGTCAAGTACTGCAATTGTACAGTTTACTTCAAAAGCTTTCGCAGAAAGGTATTATATGTTTGTTATATTCTCATCTTTGTTTAACTTTGTACGTATAAAAGTTATGTTTAACTGCATGGATAAAATAATAATAATATGCTAAAATATTGCATTTATAATTCACAATAGAAATGAACATATCAGGGATATTTTTATGTTTAAATAACCCGCCTGTTAAGCAACCAATGAATTGTTCTTGTTTACAAACATTCTATTGGTCTGTTTAATGTTAACGAAAAAGATCAGTATTTGAAATAGTAGGGGTAAATACATAAATAAGATAGAATTCAAACAGTATGTAGCAATGTAACGAATCTAGTGGCACTGTAAGGAGATCATAATTTTGATTTGTATAACATATTTAATTCATTTATGTATATAATAATAATTAGTGTTAAAAAATTGTTATTTTTTGATATATTGTTATTATTTATCTTTTTATTTATCTATATTACAATGTTGACGCGAACTGATAATTTTATTTATACATAAGGTAAGCTAATAATACAATTGTTAATAAAAAGGAAATTATTACTTTGAAAGGAGTAAAAGCATTTGGCAAATTAATTAAAATGCATTGAATTTCTTTGAATAATTAATCGGCATTATAAGTTCGTATTATAATTGTGTTTATTAAAATCTTCAAGGTCATTTATAGATACGATTGATTATCTTGTGTGTTGGCACTTTGTAATTACGGTTAACTGACTTTGCTTAACAACAATGTGACTTTCTTTTTTTTATAGGGCTCAGAAACGTATAGATGGGAAGATTGTCTTTGGTTCGAAAATTTCTGTAAAATTTCAAAAAAAGAAAGCAAGTCGCTTTCAGAAAATTCGAAGTAAACCTCTTATTTGTATAACAAAATATATATGTATATATCATTTATTAATAATGTATTCTTATACTTTTAGCAAATTCTATAAATAGAAACGGTACTGTAAGCGAGTCAGAAATTGTTACTAGTTCTCCAAGACAAATGTATAGTGCAAGTGCTGCATTAACGGGTGGAAGACCCTTTCAGTTTTCACACTACCAGTCATCGTCGCCGGTTATTGGAACGTATTCTGGATGGAATGCTCATTGTGCTTCTGCCTCAGCACCAGTAGGGTAATTGTAAACTATAGCTTAACTACAATTGTATCAACTACAGCCATAAAAATGATGAGAATTCGAGAGAGAGTCTTGTAATCGCAAGTAGATATTGTCCTCGTTTTATTCAGATTTTCGAGTCGCGAGTAGACAATATCCTTGCTTGATTCAGACGATGAAGTTATAAAAGCTTTGATCTTATCTGACAGAATATCTAGCGAAGTAATTAGAATTGCTATATAATATTTAAAGAGTTAAATTCGTTACATTTGTTTCCTTACAGGCTAGTACAACCATCGTCCGTTTTTGTTGGGAGATCGTATACAAATAATAATAACAACAATGTAACTTTTAATAGAACTTATAACGAACTTGCAAGAGCCCAATCTCCGTTATTTTGGCAAATTTCTGGTTCCCAACAATTCGGTCATGTATGGGAAGAACAATACAAGGTATATATTTTCATTGAAATTTCATTGAAATTTTACGAACTATGTTACAATTGTAATTATATGTAATTTTTATTTATTATTTATGTCAATTCAAGGTGGAGAAAACGAAAGTACTTAGTAGGAGAATTCATATTCCGCAGGCTCGGGATAATATAAATAACAATATAGCTTCTCGAAATTCTGAAGGTTTAAGACGTATGAGAGGTACGCATACTTCACATGTTCAACCAGAATGGATTGGTACAAGGCAACAACATCCTCCATTGAATGTTTCTGCAAACTTGAATGGAATTGGTATGTGAATCACTTCCTCTTTTTTCTCTAAAAAAATCTTCAATAATAGTTGACAAATTTTTAATATATATGTCAATCTTCAATATATAGCCCAATCAAATTTTAAACGTCGAAGTTCATCTCCTATGTACGACTTGCAATCACGAGAGCGAAATCAGTGGAATGGACAGGTATAAATTAATTAATTAATTTAAGATCAAAATTAACACAATTGAAATAGATTTTAATATCTATTTTTTTGGAAATCAGCAGAATGCGTCTGTACGTAGCACTAGAACACCGTCGCCTTACGAAAATACAGTACAAATGATAAGCCAACAAAGTAATCATACTTCACCTTATCATCCGAGTGATACGGAAAACGAAGAAGTTGAGGTACTTTTATTTTCTTCATACTCTTTGTTGGCTCTTCTTACCGATCCTTTTAACTAGTAATTTTTTTTCTCATATATATTAGAAATTTTTCAATCCAATAAATAATCATAATGGAACATCAACGAATAATGAAACATCTACGCCTATAGAACTTCAAGTAACTAACTTAGACCAAAGTATTAATCCAAAAAAGATGAGACATATGCTTGTCTCTATTTTTATGGAACATGTGATGGTAAATATTTAGTATTAGAATTAGTATTATCGTAACATTAAATTTCTTTGCTTATTGTTTGATACATGTTTCAGGTGTTAAATGTTTCTATTTTTACACAGTCTGATGGTAACTTTGCGGCAAGTGTCAAAGTACCTTCTTTATCAGACGCACAATACGCAATTTCTCAGTTACATCGTCGTAAAGTAGGATATAAACGTATTTTAATATCGTACGCTCATAGTGGTCGAGCAAGTCCTCAGGTTGTACGAGCACAAATTGTGATGCTATTGCAAGAAGTACCTGGTCATAAACTTCCCCTTTTTAAGTTTCGAGAAATGTATGAGAGCCGTTTCATGATTTCTATCAGCGTTTCCGAATTGTATAAAATGAAAGATGTTTGTATTGTTACGGAAGATCCTGGTGGTAGAATGGTTTCTCTTAATCCGGATCATAGAAACACGCCATCGCCTTGTTTTAATAATACAACACAGGTACTTTAAATTTTATTTGATACACTGTCATATACGAAATTCACATAGGTTCACAATGATGCATATCTAGCCGAGTTTAAGCTTTTCCGATAAGAGTAGAGTAATGTTATTCCTTTTATCGTTGAGAAGTGATGACGATAATCTAAAAGCGTTGAAAATTATTCTGAAATATTGTAAATAATATTTAACATATAAATGTGTAAATTACGAAGCATAAATGTTTATATATAATTTTTTAGGAGGATCAAGTAGAATTACCATATTGTACTGTCCATACGTTAAAGCCATGGTCTGATAAAGGATGGGCAGAACAAAAAGTAGCATCACTTCCTAATGTGAAAATTTCTTTAAAAGTTCTCGATCCACGTATACATCAATTACTAACGACGCATAATGGAAGTTTGCCATTGCCTAGGTACGTTATTGCATTGTAACTTTTAAACGGGATTTAATTACTCTCGTTTTCGTTCAATAATTTTCTTTATGATAAATTAATTTTAGTTTACCAAATTGTTACGAGGCTGAATTTAAAGAAAAATTACAAGTAGTTGACAATGGAGTACCCTTAGAACATCTAGTATCTTGTTTATCCTGTGTTGAGTTAAAACAAGGTATTGGTAGCGTAAAGTATCTTATATGGACAGGAAATAAAACTCATGAAAATAATCATGAAGGTAAGATCTTCGGTGATGGTTAAATTAATCAATGATTGATTAACATTCTTTTTTTTTTTTTTTTAGAGAATAAATGTGTGAGTTCTCCGCTTGCAAATCAATTAGCACTTTTCAGTCGTGAATTAGTCGATCTTCTGAAAACTGCTCCACACTGCCAGTTACTATTTAACCGATTTATACCCGCATATCATCATCATTTTGGAAGACAATGTAGGGTTGCTGATTACGGATTCACCAAATTAATTGATTTGTTAGAAGCGCTCACTCATACCGTACAAGTACGTAAAAGAATTAAATTCATTTAAGATAAACTATTTAACTGATAAGGTCTTAATTATTTAATTTAGGTAATGGGTGAAGGAAACAATCGTGTGGTTACGTTATCTCATCGTGCTCAAGTACGTCGTTTCACGTCTGATCTTCTGAGAGTTTTAAAGTCTAAAGCTAGTAAACAAGTAGCACTTTCAGAATTTCCAAGCGTTTATGCTAGAGTAATAGGTAAAGATTTTTAGCGATATTAAACAATTACAACGCAACAATTACAACGAACATATAAAAGAAAAATACTTTTCTTTTTTTTTTTTTTAGCTAAACCATGGGATATTGTAGATTATGGAGTATGTGAAATCGAGGATATCCTCAGTGAAGTATCAGAAAATACTGTGGCCGTTACTACAATCAATGGAGGAGATAAAATGATAGCTATTCCTAAGCGAGAACAAACTGCAGAAGAGATAGAACGAACAAAACAATTTGCTATAGAAGTACGTGATGTAAACGAAATTAAAAATATAAAAAATATAATTATGTATTTATGTTGAATGTATTTATACTTTATTTAGGTTATTGAGTTGTTACGACACGCGCCTCAATGCAGAATGCAATTTAACAAATTCGTGCCATCGTATCACCATCATTTTGGTCATCAGTGTCGAGTGTCAGATTACGGATTTACAAAATTAATTGAATTGTTTGAAGCGATACCGGAGATAGTTAAAATAGAAGATGACAGTTCTGGAGAAAGGCAAATTTCTTTGACAGAGAAGGAAGGTATTCATGTACTTTCCGAGCAAATATCCAAATTAATTACCCGATCGAGAGGTTGTCTTAGCATTTCTAATATTGCACAAAATTTTCTACATCTATTTGGTTATGCATTAAAACCGGAATTATTCGGTTGTGCCTCTATGTTGCAACTTATGCAAAAACTTGGAGATACTGTGAAGGTATTTAAGACAAAACATTAAAATTATTATCATACATGTTCAATGTTTTAATTCATTAATTTTCCAGATTGTATATTTGCCAAGTAGACCTGTAGTTATGATGATAGATAAATCCCACGTACAACATTTAACTTTACAATCTCGTCGATTGTTAATGGATAAACCTCAGTATAGAATTGCGCTTCGTGAATTCCAACATTTGTACGCTCAATATTATTTGAAATCGTGTAATATAGATGAGCTAAAGCAAAATTTATCTAACGTAGTTCAAGTAAGTTCTTTATTCAATTTTATTTAAGTGAATTTAGCTTTGTAAAAGTTTGCGAAACTGTAGATATAATTTCAGTTTACAATGGCGAATGACGAGGAGTTCATAGAACTTACTCCGTTGCATTCTTTCGCTTGTAATTTATATCGTGTAATGATGAACTATGGTGGAGTATTGAAACTTTCGCAGTTCGAGACAGCATATCTGTCCACTATAGGTTCTGTTTGTAAACCTGCAGATTATGGATTTCCAACAATTTTTGCACTTTTACAAGCATTACCTTGCACGGTAACAATAAAATTGTCACGGCGCAAGAAAAACATCATATATTTAAATAAAAAAATTGCTGGTATGTGTGAAAATAGTTGTTTACAGCTTGTTTCAAAAATTATAATTTTATGTTTCTATATATTTTTATAAACAGCTGTAGGTATGGTATTACCGCCAACGTATACATCAGCATCGTCGTACCGCGATACAGATTCTAGTAACGAGTCGTTTGAAAGTGATTCGTCCTCTCACGTTAATGTTTCAAACAATTCGACTACGCTAGAACAAACAAATTGGTCAGAGCAAGTTACTAAAAATCAGGATTCTTGGAAACAGACAAACAAGGATAATCTGTGGCCCGAAGAATCTAATAAATCTTGGAAGATTTCGAATTCGGAAGATAGATTGATCAATTGGTCGTTGCAAGAAAACGGGAGTGAAAGTTTTCTGAAAAGCCTAATGCAAACACCGATTATACCTCGTGGTTTTCCACCTGCACCTCCTAAACCAGATTCTCCACCTGAGGTACTTCATTAATAAACATGTTTTTTATTTAATAAGCTACGTGATAATAATTCTGCTTTTTAAATTACAGGAAGATATAAATAAAAATCAGTGGGAATCATCAGTTTGGATAACACCAACGAAATTTACATATCCACAAGATGAACATACTACGAATGTACAGGTAAATATTACATATATACAAATAAATTCAATTGTTTTTTTTTCTATACTTATTGATTTTCTTTGTGTTAGGTTCCTCCATTAACTTTACCTCCTTCTTGGAATCAAATCACATCCAACGATAGTAATTTACTATCACCAACAAAGAATTTGTTACCTGCTGCAGCTAATCCTTTAAATCCACGTACTTCGCCATTTTTCTCTTCCAAGCGTAGCTTGGTCATTGCCCCTCATCCTTCTGAATTGCCTCTTCCATCATTATCACTAACTCCCAAAAAGATTGTCACTGCAGAGGATATTGATGTAATTGTTGAACAAGAAAGGATTTACAACAATTTCACGGAAGATGTAAATCTTAAAAGTAATGGAAATGATAGTAGCAAGATGGAAGGCAGTGGCAATAAAGAAAAACATAATATTTCTATAAAACAATGTAAGTAATTTTCTTCTTTAATGATTAATCATTTAAATTTTAGGGTACTATATAGTGAATAATAATGTTTTTTTTTTCAAGTATTTCCTAGTAAACGTCGTTTAGCTGCTCAATTTAATCGACCTATTGAGTCATGAATTCAGTGTGGGAACTAAGAACGTTTTTATCTACACTGCGGAAGCAAAGGTGCTGATACCTAAGCACATTTCGTAGCCATACGATGTGTTAACGGAGTTGATAAAAAAAGGAAATGTATTAGTATCTCGGTAGGCTGTCACACAGTGGGTTCAAATACCTATACGCCATTTTTTAAATGATGGTAGGTACCCTCCCCCCATTTATATATAAAATAATTACACTAATAATATATCGATTTGATACATATGGGATAGAAAACAGAATTTATTTTCAAGAGGTATGAAAATATACACGTACGTAAAATACCTATATACTAAGTACCTATAATTTTTGATTTAAAAATTGTGAATAAGTGTGCAGCGTTTATACCGAATGATCTATACTGGTTGCGTGTCAAATTTATGTAATATTTTTCATACTGTGATATAGAATAGAAAAAAAAGAAAATTAATGCAAATTATAATGCATAAGGATGAATAAAACGTGGGCAATAATTGTACAAATTTTATAGGATTGGGCCAAAAATCTTATATTAAAAGTTACTATTTATGTCATAATAATAAAGTTATATCTAAGTAAAATTTTATGTAAAGTGAGAAAATTAAAATCGAATGTTTTGTTCGTTCATATTGTAAATGTCAAGTGTACTTTTTTTTAGCTTCATTAAATGAACGGATTTTTCGTGATCGAGATTTCATTGGCTCAATCCTATTGTTGTAGATTATTCTCATAAAAAATGAATTGTACTAGGAAGATCAATGTAAAAACCGTCAAATTGTTGTTGCTCAACAATAATCGTACTATCAATCATGAAATCCAAGACAATTCATTTTTATAACTTAACGTTAACTTTAACTTCTATTCGTACAATTGCTTTTTTCATTCGTGTCAAAGGATTCCTTTTATTATTGTCTATTTTTTATTTTTTTTTTTTTATTGATAATACTTTGTAATTCTATTACGAATGAATGCGTTTTGAGAATTCTAATAATAATTGAAGTGCAATGTATGATATTTTGAACTGTCGTACTTCTTCTTTTTGTATAAATGAAAAGTTTTTAATTTAAGGAATCATTTAAGTTTAATATTAGTAAGTCACTATTAAGTCAAACTTACGAAAATGGATAAAAACAAAAGCATAATATACGAATTTTACGAATTCTATTTAAATTCTTCGAAGGGTTGTTGAATATAGTGATAGGCAATAAATATTTTATCAAAACGAAGACAAAAACACCTTCGTATCCGTCAAAGTTTCAATATTTAACGTTACTTTTAGTAATGACAATATTATTCTAAGATATTTTGTTTTCAGTGTCAAGTGAAAACAGAGGGGGAATAAAGATATATTGATCATAACATTCATTGCAAGAAGTATATGATTAATAGATTTAATATATGATACGAATCAATGGCAAGACATTGCTCTCTTTCAATATGTATAAATGATCTTGTTGATCTCATATTTTACTTTATTATTAAAAGGTATTTTATATTAAAAATAAAGTACGTATACAATTTTGTGAACAAAAGGGAGCCCAGATCAAAAATATTATTGCGAATTATTAAATGTATTAGTTGCCACTGAAAAGATTGCAAAGCAGAGGTTCGCTACATTGTTTGAGATATTATTAAATAAAAGAATCACGAATCGACTTAAATCGTATTAAAATTTGTGATTCATTATAGGACAGTTATATGTATTAATATTTTTATCATGTTTTCCAAATCCAATTTGTATTAATTTATTCAGATCAAATGAGATAGCTTTGTTATATGTTGTATATTTATTATGTAGGAATGTGGGTTCTATTGTATTTTATATTTATGTGAAAAGAGTGATAAAATTTTTACTTTATTTTTTAAATTGTACGAATTTGTCAATTTTGATTTTCTATTAGTCACAATAAGATTTCTTTTTATATTTTAAAAAGCTTTTATTATTTGTGAATTTAAGATATTTAATATTAAGGATATATATTTTTCGTAAATTGTTTAAAACATCATTTGTAGTAAATTTTATTTAAAATAGTTCTTATCATTGCTCTGACTAATAGAAAATTTAATTGGCCTTTATGCAAAAAAAAAATGTCAAAAATGCGTAAGATATTGTAATAATTGCATAAAAAAATTTTATTGTAATAACAAATACAAAAAAAATTACGAAGTATAAATAATCAATGGAATCTTCCAAACAAGTATTGAATAAAATAATTTGTTATACAATAGATCAACAAATCTTTGGTGTACACTATTGTTACAAGTGGCAGGACGAAAGTATAAAATATAAAGATTAAATTTCTGAGAGGTGCAAATTTTAAGTATTAGTTATACAATCGTAAGAATGAAAAATAGTACAGTCTATAGTACAGTACATTAATTTATTTTACCTCTTTTTTTTACAGAGTAACTATCTACATAACGATGCAAATTCAGCATTAGTCTCAAACCAAGATGTAGCGTGTACATTAATTTAATAATTTATACATCATATTTTTTATTAGTCATGCCACTACCAACTGGACCATGACGTCGTTCCCAAATCATACGATGTTTCTGTTTCATGTATGCATCAAGTACGTTATGTGGTACACCAATATCTCCATCTGTATTTCATCGAAACATAAAGATTAAAATTAAAATTTTTACACGAAGAGAATTTTATATATATATAAAAGTTAAAGAGAATTATATATATATATTCATACATTTTGTAAACCAAGCACCGGCTGCGTCCTTATAAATTGCGTATAACTCGGAGCAAAATTTGTTTTTGTCTTCTAACCCGTAATACCAACTACAATCTTCATATCGTTGCCTCAATATAGCAAGAATCTCGTCATCGACCAGCCTAATTTCAACCAAATATTTGGCATTAATGCATTTAATTAACGGTAAAAGATGCATGGTTTCAGACAGATATTTAACAAGAGATGTACTTATCACGTTCAAATTGGTGTTGTGCTTCCACACGACAGACCATGTCCTGCTCGCGACACTCGTCAATCGTTGGAACTCGGCGAAATTTTTGATGATACCATGGATAACTCTTCTGATTCGGCACGACAATATTCTCTGTTAAAATAAATTACATACGTACTGTCATCGGCCCTTTTGATAACATAACCAAACGACATGATTAGGTAATACCTCGGAAATACACGACTGGTGTGTCAATTATATAAATTAGTTTATTCATTATTCGAACGATAATACTTTCTTCTGGGTCCATTTTTCAATAAATTAACGTTCAAAGTATACGTAAACTAAAAGTTATTTAATTTATTGAGAATTTACATTCGAAATTGTAACATCCCTCATGTAAGAGGATCACGGAAAAACTAGACATAGAACGAACTCCATCTAGTAAATGCACAAATAGTACATGATAGATTTTGATAATTCGAATATTTGAATGATGTACGATATTAATTTGTTAACTTACTTTTTCCAATTCGTTATATCTTTTAATAAAACATATTTCTTACATTTGTTTGTATAAAAACAGTGTAAATATGTTTAAAATTCTGTTTCAGTGCTTTTATTTCTTTTATCAAAAATATTATTACTAATTTACCATATACCGTAAAGTCTAATCACAAATATAAAATATAAAAAAGTAATTTAATTTTATTTACTTATATATAAGCAAGTTTATTTGATATTTCTCGTTTTTTGAAATATTTCTAGATCTAGTGACTTTTCTTGTGAAAATGGTGGTAGATCGTCTTATAAAAGAGACGTTTCGAGAAATAGATCCTCCATTTTTGCTGTTGCAACTAAGATGGTAAGTTCGTGTTTTATCGATTGTTTCCATTTGCGCGATGTATTTGATGTTAATTTTTTAAAAAAAGTCATCATCTTTTTTATAAAACATTTTCACGATGGTAGTTTTGTATCTTTTTATAATAAAAATTGGTCGAAACGTTCTGTAGAACTATCGAAACAAATTTCTTACGAAACGGCCACGTGTTCCACTTTCGTCACGTTTCATGATGATCAACTTTTCAAAGTTTATGGTTTTTTCCTGCTGAACAACTTTGAAGATAAACTAGGGCGGACTGATATATAAATAAATTATATCTTTTTTTTTTGTTAATTTCCATGTATCGTTCGATTAATACCGTACATTTATAGTCGCACAGGAAATTCAGTGCACCACGCCATGGGTCCATGGGATTCTATCCCAAAAAGAGATCTCAGCGACATCGTGGTAAAGTCAAGGCCTTTCCCAAGGATGATCCGACCAAACCTATACATTTAACGGCTTTTATTGGCTACAAAGCTGGCATGACACACGTAGTTAGGGAAGCGGATCGTCCAGGATCAAGTAAGTATTATTTTTCAATGTACATTTATTTATTCCTTTGAATATGATAAACCATAATTTCATAAGTACAGTACTACCTTGTTAAACCTTGCTGTTTAATCTAATAAAATTATGAAAAACGATCAAAAAATGAATTACTTTTTTCAATGGTTGTACATAATTAGTTCTACTCGTGAAAAAACTATATTCAATCTACATTTTCTTTGTGTATAACAAATTTTAAAGCACAATGCAGAGACTAACGTTAACTTTTCATTTTTTTGTGTTCTTATCTCTGAGTTGTCTGAACACTTGACAAATAATGTAACCTTTTCGGTACAAGCGCTCTGTCTGCCGTGATACTCCTGCTGTACGAGGCGCCGCTCCGAAAATGCACACATAACACGTGATCAGCCCTCTTGTATATAAAGATTTTCCTTAGCGTTAAATAAGAACTGTGCTTAATAAAACATTGTTTCTTCTAACAAATGTCGTTAGTTTTAATATTAAAAGACATTTATATAA